GAATAATTTGTATGATCATTGAAGTATGAAGTAATAACTAAGGAAAAATCGATTAGAAAGATTTTTATATTACATTAAACAACATCCTCAAGATTTACCTGAGGTATCCATGGTCTAGTAAAAAAATAGTACGAGTGGAGAGAAGAAAAAAAAAAACGAGAAAAAATTGAAAGTAAAAAGTAGTAAAAAAAAAAAAAAAGAAAAAGGTGCCTATACAGTTTTTAAAACGCCTGACTCTAAAATAATAATACGAAGGATTAGCTCACGAAATTTTTTTGAACACTGTAGCTATATTAAAGATTAAAAATGTCTATTTCATTTAAAATAACTTTACAACGAGTTAAACGCGTTGTTTAGCGCAGCTTCTTATATCAGCACGCCCCGTGATACACACCAAAAAGGAAATTTTTGCTGGTAGGTCGGTGCTGTTCATATGACGATCGCCATGTTACGCAAAACAAGCGTATAAAAAATTTTAATTAGTGAAAATCACTATCACAACACCAGATAAGATTCATTAATTATGTGTCTAGGGTTTGCCAATGAAGTTTTATCAATATTCTTGGGAATATGTGTTCACCTGAATTTTCCCCTCCTTCTCCTCGTACTTGAGCCCAAATATTAACGTTAACCCAATAATTAACTTTGAACGGCCTTAATCAACAATATACAATGTGTTTATTTTTGCGAAATGCGAAAAGGTCTATTCTATATATTAAAAAGGGATTTATTTTATAGTGCTATAGCACCAGTTCACTTATTTGCGCGAGTAACACAAACCCAAAAAGGAGTGCGTAAAGATATAAATTTAGGGTTAGGACGTTAATGTTAGAGGCTATAACAATATATTGTTGTTTGCTATCGTTCCCGACATTTTTAATTAGTGAGCTTTGCTCAGATTGGCTATTTCCTTTTTAGGGTGCGGATCGTCCCCCAAATTTGTCAATGATCTACATCAAATCAATAAATACGATTTGTTTTGATGTTTTGATTTTTACGTTCATCTTTTTGCTCCATATAAATTATACAAGATTTTCCAAAACTTTGTTGCGTCATTAAGTCTTGTTAAGACAAATATTTTCATTTTTACATATGTAAAATATAATTTTAAACGCTTTACTTTAATATTAAACTTCCATATATTAGCGTACATTTCGTCCGAGCATACGTTGAACATCGTTACCAAACAGCTGATATAACTTCGATAGCTCCTGTGCCAGTAACTTTTTGGAAATGGTTAAGTTGCGAGAAAAGTGCATTGTTTTTATTTTGCAAAGGAAGAATAACTTCTAGTGGACTCTGTGAGAACTCAGAATGACTGACAGTTTACTTAGGAGAATTACTGTATTTGGATACTGGTAACCACTCCAGGCGTTCTGGATGCAGGCGTCCTACTTTGCTGATAATAAAGACCTATTAATAGTGTTACGAAAATTCGAGTTTTTTTAATCCGAATCGGAACATTACCTATTGATTTTTATTATTTGCAAAAAGGATAACTCCTAATAGACTTTACTAGACTTTCGGAGGATCACTTTATAGTTTGCTATGAGAATTACTGGGTTTGGATACTGGTAACCACTCCAGGTGTTCTGGATTCAGGCAGTCTACCTTTGTTGTTAATAAGGGACTACGGACTCCGATTAAGAGAATCAGTGGTTCTAAGAAGGAGTCAGTTATGCACCCTATTCTTATTCTAAGTAAAACTGCACTACAAACACCTGTAAATGAGACAAAATATAACTGCTATTTACGGTAAAACTTCATTGCTTATCTTGTTATAGTATTGAGTTACAAGTATTTAATTTTAATTTTTCGAAAATTTCGATAATATGATAAATTGGATAATGGCACACTATGCAATCTAATGGATAGTGTCGCAGTCCTTACTGGTTACAATAGTTGATAAATATCTCAATTCGAAGGTAAGGGTTATTCGAACACCAATTTTTTTTATTTATTTATTTGTCTATTAAATTATTTATCATTACTAATCTACTTATATGATATTTGACTTTCTCCAATTACTGCATCATATTCGATTTTACCCTTGCATCATTGATTACTCTCCGACTTCGGTTAATTACCCATGGTTCGATCGATGATCGAGGCCTTTCGAACCCAACTTACGAAACTAAGCAATAAGTACACCTACAATTTTTATATGCTTTTTTAACTGCTTTAATTCTTTAGTTTAGAAACTCCTCAATTGTTACACGTGAACACACGTATCCTAAGCAGCATAGCAATTGCATATATCATCTGACTTTGAGCGAATTTCTTGCCACAAACAAATTGTACAGAGAAACCGAATATATATTCAGAAGCTATATCTTTCGCTCTATATACAGTCAAAATAATCACGAAAACAGGAATAATCATGAGGGTTAGTTATCGAGCGTTTTTTTTCAATTTAGTTGTAGCTTTGAATTTCTGAAACAAAAAAAGTTTTGGCATTTTTTGTAGTTAGATCTCTAGTAAACGAGCTATTCTCAAAATTAGTAATACTTTTAAATCATAGTTGTTAGACGAAGCTTAAAAGTTTTGAATTAATAAACATCGAAACTGAGTTCAACATTTTCGTCGGTTAAAATTCTAAAAAAAAAAAAAAAACTACCAGAAGGTGTCGAAACTGTTTAAAGATATGTTTGATTTTCATGTGCTTTTCACTTATCGCAGTTAGCTATTTTTTATTAATTTATTTATTAACTTTAATATTATTTTTTCCGTTAGCTGGTGCAGGTGGTGCACCATGGTGCACTATTAAAATTATATCTGCACAGCAACCCTAGTTATTATTTATTGTTGGTAAACAATTTAGGTTTAATCTGAAGGTTCTTTATATGACATTATAACCGTTGAATGGAACTGTATGGACAATAGACCAATTTAACTCCAACGGTGTACGATAAAAAGGATGATTTTAAACAAGTTCAATGTGATTTTTCAAGGGTGATCGGTACTCAAATCGTATTTCAGAGAACCAATTTAGTCAAATTAGCCCATTTTAAGTTATGTGACTTACAACTAATTTTAAAATAATAGATTTCTGCTGACATAGGGGTAAGTGAATAAATTTTTTTACATTAAATTTATTTAATCGATTTTACCCTTTAAATCCTATAATAAATTTAATTTCCAGGTCCTTATGTAAAGGAACAAAATGCTCTATATTCCATTACCATTTCGAGCTCATTTCCAATTTGGAAAAAGTTGTCTAATAGTAACCGCGTCGCGGTGCAAAGATGGTTTTAAATCCAAATGATCTGTCGTTATATGTTTGGGGAAGTGCTTATAATGGATCTGTACTTATTATATATATATGATATTAATAAAAATTCGTGGATTAGAAAGGCTTCACTAAATCCACTAAACCTACGTGCTTCACATACAATGACCATTCTACCCGATGATCGTATTTTCATTACGTATGGCTTTATGAGTATGTATATTCTGCATTAATATAATTGCTAACTAGCCATCCGATGTTAATGTATATCGCTGTATTATGAATTAAATTAGATTCCTCCGTTCGGCCTCATGACTGGGTGGTTTGTTTCCTTTTCTTTATCTTTTCAAGTTTTCGATTATTGTCTTTTGACGTTCCTATTTTTATTTTTATTTTTATTTTCTATTATTAGGTAGATATCTTTGATACTGTGACCAACGAATGGAGTCATAAGGTACAGTAGCCAACAAAGTAATGCCCGATGATCAATTTTATAGTAAATTATATATAAAATCCTTTTTAGAAAATTTTGCTACCAAAAAAAAAAATCGGGTTTATCTTGCCCCGGTGAAAATTTTACACCATAAAATATAAATATCAAATTTTCTAATCGTATAAAATTACAAAATATTTATTATTAAACTTTGGATTTTTAACAATTTTAAAATTTTAGATTTTTACTATGTTTTACTATGTAAATTTTGTAAAATTGAATTGTAAGTTTTATGTTATAATTAAAACTTATATTTTTTTTATAAAAATAATTTTTTATTTTACATTGCCTTTAAAATAATAGTACTACTATTAATAATTATAGTTAGAGATGGGAAAACTGCGCATGCATGCGCTCTTTTGCTGGACAAAATTCAAATTGTCATTCAATTATTTACATGAATAATATATTTGGATTTTTAGACTTAAGACATAATAAGAATTCGGCACAAAAGCTATTTCATAGTTCCAGCCCGCATTACGTTGGTCATGGGCCAAAATTATCTTAATGCCAGCTGAATTAATGGTTAACACAGTTAAATGGTTATAAAATTTTGATTAAATATCATGTAAATGAAATAGAATCATATGCATAGATGCGTATTAGTACACACAGATGAAAGTACATTGACTCATTTATAGTATTACGTTTGTATCGAAGCTAACAAATTTATATATATAAATCTTTGATGGGAAAAATGCGCATCAGCCCATCTTTAATTATAGTTAGGTTTTTTTTAAAAAAAATTTTAAAATTTTATATTTAATTTTAAAGTCAAATTTACAAATTTTATATGTTTTACATATGAAATTTTGAATCGTAACCTTCATAATTAAAAAAAAATAAATCTCAATTTGTTTGTCTTGGTGAAACTCATATATTATAAAATATAAATATTGACTTTACTAATCATTTTAAAAAAAAATTTTTAAATAAAAAGAATATTAACTCTTTTATATATTATATATAAATTTTAATTTTTTATATGTTTTACTATGAAATTGATCATCAGGTGTTACTTTTGTTGGTTACTGTATATGTATTCGAAGTTTTTAATAATTTTCAATACATTTCTTGATATGCTTCTTTTACATTATTTAATTATTTATTTATGTTAAATAGGACTTAATATTTGATTTCGCATTTATATTTTATTTTACGCATACTCTACATAATGTATATAATCTTTATATTTTTATTTTATTATAGTGTTGGCAGGCAAAACCTAGTTTCAACTTTCGCCAAAAAAAAATTAAAATGGTGAAAGATGGCGAAACTGGTGAAACTGGCGAAACTCTGCGAAACTGTGGTGAAACTAAAAAAAGATAAAATTAATAAAAAAAGTGAGAATAAAAAGATAAATAAAGATAATTAAAATTTTTTTATATAATGAATATTTTTATTTCTATATATATATATATATTATATATTATTCATATTATATTTATTACAATATATAGATTTTTATAATAGAAATTTTTAATAATTAGTAATTTTATTATAAATTAAATATAAAATAAATAATTTTTATATTTATTTATAAATTAAATAGAATTATTTTATAGATTATCTCTTTTTATCAAAGATATTTTTTAAATATATATTTAGAGAATAATAAAAAAATTATATTTATAAAATCAAGTATATATTTGAACAAGAATCTGTGCATATACTTGGAGAGTGTTTATTGATAAAATTATACTTAGAGAGGTTTGACTGCATAAATAATTTATATAATTTAAATAATAGATAAAATTTTTAATTTAAAATTTGGTTACTTTGATATTTTAACAAAATAAATTAAAATTTATTTTAATAAACTTATAAAAAATAAAAAATAAAACTATTTTTACATAGAATCTTACCCAACCTGATATTTAATTTTAAATTTAATTTGAAACACAATATATGCATAATTACACTGTCATATACAATGCTTTTTGATCAATAATCTAAATTTTACTATATTTTATTTATTATAAATTAAATATTTCCTTAAAGTTAGCTCTA